ATTATTATTATTATTATTATTATTATTATTATTATTATTATTATTATTATTATTATTATTATTATTATTATTATTATTATTATTATTATTATTATTATTATTATTATTATTATTATTATTATTATTATTATTATTATTATTATTATTATTATTATTATTATTATTATTATTATTATTATTATTATTGTTATTATTATTATTATTATTATTACCACTTAATTGTGATAAAAAATTTTAAAAACATAGAAATTTTTCAAAATATCTACCATTCCTTTTGGTGTAGACATCATTGCAACTGTTTGTTGTATTGCTCGATGTTTTGACTAAAAATTACCCAATTGAATAATGACAACCTTAAATTAAAGAAAAAATCCTGATAACTTGTCATTTTCCATTCTCAACATTACTGATATCACTTTGCGGATTAAATTTAACATCCTTTCGAAAAAAAAAAAGACGCTTATGTTGAAGCTTATATTGGTATCGGTGCCGTGTGTACCTGTTCTGAAAATTCTGGAGACGAATTGCATAAATCATCATCGCTCTCACCACTGCATCCGATCATAGATTCCTGAGTCATTTTCTTCCTTAACGTTTCTAAAATAAATGATGTTAGCAAGAACAGCATGGATAATTTGTTTTCAAAATTAATTTATAATTTGAAATTAAACGACTATATAAGATTAAAGTTAAAAAAATAATGTAAAACTATTAATATTTTTTAAAACCATTTACAAAAATTTTACAAACGTTTTAATTATGATCTTAACAATTGAGCAAAATTAGCTATCGAATAAAATCGTTCTTTGATAACCATATTACTTAATTTTGTTTGTTAACAAACAATTAACAATTAAACAATTTTATGATCATACCGTTTATTATTGTAATTCTTAAATGAATATTAATTTTGATATAGTTCATATTTCAATAATTGTTAACTTACGCAAATATTTTGTTTTGAAATCATCGCATAATTCAGCAACTTTTTCCAATTCTAATAAATGTAAACGAAGCATTACTATACAATTAATTAAAAATACATCAAGTTCACTGTTTCCTAGTGATTCATCACCATTCAACGTCATTTGCGTCAGCTGCTGTAAAATGAATAAATTCTATTAACATTTAACATACTTTCGCATATTTTACATTTAGCTAAAATATGATTAGCTTAAACTTTTATAAATTCTAATTTACGTGTTACAGTATTATAAAAGCCAAGAAATAATATGAACAATTGCTAAGGTCATTAATATAAATTAGCATTGGTCATATAACATCATATTATTACAATGGAAGATGTCATGTTTCTAACCTACTACAACAAAAGGGATATGTTACATTTTTAAAAGTATATTAAATAGTTTGAATTGTTAATAAATTTATTTCAATTTTTCAATTATTCTCAAAGAGG